TTGCCTCTGCAGCTTTTTAATCAGCTCTTGTAAAAGTTTCAAATTTCATTGAGACTTTCCAAGATAACGAAAAAAAGATTATGAGAATAAAAATTTTTTTTATCCATTCACACCTTAATTCTTATTGGATTATTTAATATTTGCTTCTTTCTCTTTATACTCTATTTGCACTTAAGTAAATTATATAATTAATACATTGTGCTGAAATTAAGAACAAATTAAAATGCAGGTGCTACACCCACACACACACACACACACACACACACACACACACACACACACACACACACACACACACACACACACACACACACACACACACACACACACACACACACACACACACACACACACACACACACACACACACACACACACACACATAACATATTGATATAATCAAATGTTATTTTGTGTGTTATTTTATTGTATCATTGAAATAATCAAATATTAAATAATTATTGAACGAAAGTTTCTTCGAGCTTCTATGCGGAAAAACGGCAATAAGCCGCTTGTAGCACCAAAGGACAACACAGCCTCTGTATAGTATTATATCTCAACACTCTCCATTGATTCTTCAAGTTCGACGGAACTTGCATGGTTAATGCAGGATCAAAATTTCGATTCGGAACATCGCGATGACCGGCGTGCGAAATTTCATCGGCCGCGCGGGGGTCTCCTCCGGATGTGAAATCATCGGCTCGCCATAGAGCATCGTTGCTCCAGCACGGATCTGTGAAAATAAGGGAAATGGGAAAGAAAAAGGCCAGCGAAGATCGGAAACGGCACCGGTGCGCATGCTTTTTTCCAAGCGCCCCGGTGCGCACGGACGTGTGCGGGGAAAAGCGGAGCGCGCGCTTTTCCGCGAGCACGCTCGCCTGTGGATAGCACGGGCCGGCCACACGTGACTAGATGTAACACTAATTAACGCCTAGCGTAAGAGAACTAACGGATATTAAAGTGCAGATACATTGTCGGACGTAAAATAACCCACGAGGGGTGATTGCGCGCGAGCGAGCGAGCGAGCGAGCGAATGTGTGTGTCTGTGTGCTCGAGCTCAAAAGATGCGAGAGACGTGCACTTGAAATTTTGGGATGTTTGTTTTGCGTGAGAGCGACGAAAAGACTGAGAGAGAGAGAGAGAGAGAGAGAGAGAGAGAGAGAGAGAGAGAACGAGAGAATGAGAGGAAATTCATTGCACGTGTGTATAACACGTACGCACACATACACACGTACGTGTACAACTGCGCAACTGCGAGAAGTTCGTTGGACTGACGTACCAAGGCGTTGGTCAAATGACGCATTTTAAGATTAAAAAAAACAAAAGGGTCGGTCACGGGGACGCACCTTCTCTCGTACCGTTTCTGCCTCTTCTACTTGCCGCGGCTGATCGCTCTAACGCCGACTGGACGAGAAGGGGGCCTGAGGAGCAAGCAGTTCTCGCGCAAAAGGCCGTCGCGAATTGAAACTTCGCCGCCCTTTTCTCTAATCCTTAAAACGAGAGCCAGCTTCCCCATCGCGGGGTGGAAGAAGGCACAAACGTAACTCCGCGCTCGTCCCCGTCGCCCTTTTGCTTCACCGCGAAGAGAAAGAGAAGAAGAACGAGACGAGTTAATCTTAAGCGAGAAGGAGGAGGAGGAGAGGAGGAGAAGGGAAGCGACGAGACAGCGGGACGGCGAAACTGGTTATAATAGACGTCGTCTAAGATATTCTAACGTCGTAGACGCAGCATTGAATTTTTGTACCAAAATCTATTATAGTCCTTAAGTGTCGCGTAATACTTCTTTCCGTTCGACGTCGCCGACCGTTGCGGGCTTTACGTGCTTACATCCTCGGTTCTGTCTAAAGGAAACATGAGAGAGAAATGCGTAAGTAAAGAGAAAGAGAGAGAGGAAACAGAACGCGTCGCGCGGAAACGCAGTCGAACGAGGAGAATGAGACTCGCTTGCATCCAAAGATATATACATCCCCGCCGCGAGGTTCTCCGGCTAAGTTCCTATTGCACGCTTCCGTGACGCTGAAAGCGTCATTCTTTTTTCGGCGTGTCATGAGAGACGGAACGATGGCTCCGACGGCCTCCAAAGCGTGCAGGACGAACTTGGTCTCCGTCGATTGTTCCGCGTAGTCGCGATCGTGCGAATCTCTCAGCCGCAAGTAATAAGAAACGAGCTTTTCGCGTGGAAACCCGAGGAACTCGCGCGACACGAAGAATCGAGACCGCGATCGCGGGCCCCCGGGAGCCACGGGGATCATCACTCCTTTCCCCGATTAATCGAGCTGTCTGATCCGCGGTCGCCCGGCGACGCGAGAAACGCGCGCGCGCGCCTGCCGATTCGCGAGAGTCGCGATACGAATTTCGAAGTGAACGAACACGCTTTGTTTCGAGAGTGATGCTTGACCGTCCTGACAGTACGTCGATGTGCTCTTACGCGTAGATAACACGAGTTAGATGTTTTTCGATAGTAGGCTATACGAGAGAGAGAGAGAGAGAGAGAAAGAGTACGGGCGGTAACCGCGCCGTCGAAGAAAGGGGGAAGAAAGAGAAGAGTGGAGAACATGGGTGTAGAAATCGGTGACCCAGAAATAGATCTCTATCAGTCGCGGGAATTCCAATTCTGACGTGATCCATCCTGTTGCCGCGCCGTCGAGCGGTCTCGGTGAATTCTTTGTGAACGCGATAGGACATCCTCCGGAAATCGATTACGCAGCTCCGCGTTAGAAACAGAGAAAGAAAGCGAGAGGGGGGAGAAAAAGAGAAAAAGAGAGAGAGAGAAAGAAAGAGAAACAGGTCACCGGAAAGCGATCTCGAGACGAGGAGCGGGCGAAATGTTATCGCGGAACTTTTCAGACGAGCGCCAGACGTCGAAGATCGCGAGACGGTTACCAGCTCGGGGAAGAATATTTGTTTGCGCGATTGTTGCAACTTTAACCCTCCACGCGTCCGCTCGTCGCGGGTCGCGCGATTATTTTGCAGTCGCGATTTCCCGACGACACACTCCCGACAGCGTCCAGATCCGAGCTCTCGCAGAGACACGGCGCGTTCCACGATAATGCGCGTTTCTCTTCCGCCCGACCAAAACTTTGTCTCTTGGTCCTGCTCATGTCGGCTCCAATCAATTATCTGGTTCGTATGAGGTGGTGTTATCGGGTCTCGAGATGAGTCATGTGACACGACGTGGCAATCAGGATCTTGTTGATATAATTGGGAGCCGACAACGTCAAACCAGATAACTGAATGGGACCAACGTGATTATGGAGTATGGAATGAGTTTCTAGTCGGGTCGTTGAAACGGACAGACGGACGTTCGTCTTCGAGGAGGCTGTGGAGGGTTAGAAGAACGAATGAACGAACGAAGAATCATTTATCGTCGATCGACACCCTCGGGACAGGACGGATAATACTTAATTATCTCGTCGCTGACAACAACATTCGCGTGAAGTGCGTCGCGCAATCACGCGATCGTCATTGCACGCGAGCATCGTAAGAAGCTCCCGAACGTACGACTCGAAAGACTCGTCGAGTATCACGCGCACACACACACACACACACACAACACACGCCGAGGATTACGTTACTCGCGATTCGGGCCGTCACGCGTTACACGATCGATTTCCTTTCAACGCGAGAACGCGATTTCTTCTATTGCACCCGTTTTAGACGAGCCGTCTCTGATGAGAGACATCGTAAATCAGGAGTTTCGATAAAGAACAAGAAGAAAAAAAAAGCAAAGCCATCGCGGTGACATATTGAGTTTGACAGCGTTCTTATTAACCGTTAAAAAGCGAGGTCCTACGTTAACGGGTGTTTCGTTGACGGCACGCGACAGATCAACACGTAGTAAGGGGTCTAATTAATCGTTAACGCAACACACACGTCTGCCGATTCGAACGCTCGACGAAGATGAATTTACGGGAGTAAAACGTTGTACCCGCGCGGAGGGTGAGGAGGAAAAGGTGAGATTTGATTAAGGGAAAGAGAGAGAGAGAGAGAGAGAGAGAGAGTGAGACGAGATCATGTGCAGAGTATGGTGAGAGAAGACTGCGGTGTGAAGGACGCGAATTTTGTCGAGCGCGCGGATAAGCGGACATCGGTTTAAGAGTAAGCGTATAAGTTAAAGAGAAAAAAACAGCAAACACTGAGAAAATATAAATATATATATATTATATATCCCTCGAGAGAGGTGAGCCTCGTCTCGTAGATTCGCATCTGTACACCTTAAGCGCTTTAGGGTTTAACGAGAAAATAGACTTTAACGAATCTACGAGATGATGCCGAGGGAGGCGAAGGATGTTGCGAAGAATGTTCGAGAGCGAGTGGCAAACGGTGCGAACGAAAGAGAGAAAGAGAGTGCGAGTGAGACTGAAAATGCGCGACAAACGAGCGAAAGAGAGGGAGAGAAAGAGAGAGAGTCTGAATAAAGAAAAAAAAAACGAGCGAAAGCAAGAGAGCAAGAAAGCGCGAGATGCGGATGCGAGCGAGAAAGCGAGATAATAAATCAATGTTGAACCCATCATTACACCGACTCGCAGAGTCTCGGGAGACAAATCTTCGTTGACCGCCATTTCTATATGCGCATAAGTTCGGTCTCGGTTTCGCGAAAGCTCGCGGACGCGGAGACGCGTTCTCGATCGCGGCGCGGAAGCGAGGCGTCGGCCCGGATTTCGCGTGGGTGCGCCGCCGGGAACGTCCGAGACATTCGGGCGTTCGCGTTGCGTTTATCAGCGTTCGTCTCAACGGCGAAGCGACCATCTCACGCACGCGCTCCTCATCGGCGACCGCAGCCGCGATCGACAGTCCGCACAGAGCTCCGTCCGCGTCCGCGGAGCGAGAGCCCTTTACATACGAGTTTCCGCATCCCTTTACGTTTTTCGACTATCGTGGCGAAGCGGGACGAAGAACGGTCCCGTTCTATGTGTGTAAGAACCATAAAGCTTAATAAAAAAAAAAAAACACATTATACTATGAACTTACGGGATACTAAATAAAAGTAAGCCAAACCGTTAAGAGCACTGCGAGTTTTATTCTCTCCCCGCGGGAGACTCTCTTCGACATGTTTTGCGTTACATGTTAACCATAGATGGAGGATTTTAATCGTTGCGAACTGAACACGGGAATGTAAAAGAAAATAAGTGCGAAATAGCATTATTACAATTAAACAATCGTTATTACAAATAGCGTTATTACAAAGAATCGTGTTCGAAAAAAAAAGAAAAACGTAACTGGAATCATATTAGATGCTCTGACTGGGAGTGCGGCATCTAATCGATATCTCCGCGATTACGTATCACATGAGTAAGAAAGTTGAGGAAGAATGCCTGAAAATTTATTTGTGTGGGATACAAAGTTCATCCTAGAGAAATAAACTTTATTTTGCAGAAATCAACTTTATATCCCGCGAATGAATTTTCAAGTGTTTCCTTCTCAGTGACGCGAGCGCGTTCACTCGAGTTTTTTGTTTTTGTCGCGCGTTTTCATGCAGTTGAGGATGATCCTTTGGAAGTAGATGAGGTAAAACGCGCCGACAAGTCGCATCAGGCCCATCAGCGACACCTGCAGTACCAACTCGCTGATCGACGTGAACGGCGACATTCCGGCGCACAACGTAGTCAAGATGAAACCTTCTTGACCAACAGTAGAGAAGAATTTACCTGCCTGCAATAAAAGCGTGTCACCATTTTCACTATCAAGCACGAAAACGGAAAGACGGAAAGAAAGAAAGCATTAAAGCGACTTAAAGATGTTTTTGAGACAATAAACTGTCTTTGCAATGTTTCTGAGACTTCAAGATACCTTTTAGATCTCTTTAAGACATCTTCCAGGCATGCTCTTAGATAGCGCAAATATCTAAACAAATCTCTAAAAGACGTTTTTTAAATAATACGTTGACTGTTGCGCAATAATTTATACTAATTTAGTTAAGCATTGGTAGCTCAACTAAAATTCAAATCGTCAAAGATACAACAAATAAAAAGAATTCATGATTCATATATTCGTTAACGCGTTTCTTCAGATTCCTATTGGCTATATGCTTAATTTATTATATGCAATAAGTCACGTTTCATACATAAATTATAAGACATCATAAGTCATAAGCGATATAAATGTATCGCTGTGTCTTATGACTTATGTATGAAACATGACTTATTGCATATAATAAATTATATAAGTTATAATTAATAAATTATATAAGTGTTGATAACCAATGACTTTTCACGGCAGTCAATATGTTAAGACGCCTTTAGAGGTTTGTGCCAGAAAGATAGGAAGCAAGAATTGCTGCATTCGACTGTCATGTGCATCATTCGTTTACCGACCCGCACATCCTTGAACATCTTCTCCGCGACCACTGCGGGGTCGGCCAATCCCGCCGTTTTTGAGATAAGATGCGTTTCCAGCGGCTTCGTCAGCTGCTCTGTCGCGAAACCCGGCGTATCTGTGTCCGGCGGCAAGCTCAGAGTCACGGAGATGTTGTACGGTCGCAATTCCATGGCCAAGCTTTCCGCTAAGCCTCGAAGTGCGAACTTCGTACCGGCGTAAGCCGACAAGCCATAGATACCTGAAACAAAGACGATCCTCCTTTGTGACTCGCAAACAACATAAGACCCGACGGATTGTTCTCTGAATTTCTTGGAGGAAAATCTCTCTGAGAAATTACCAATGTACTTATGCTTGCGATGGACTCCGAGTTCATGCGAGCGAATCTTCCCTGAACGACTCAGAGTAGAGAATTCTCATGAGTGAAAAGTCACTCGAGCGACTCTGTCGCCTCTGTCACTCTGCTTTTCGAATGATATGTCGCAGCAAGAAATTCAGAGAGCACAAGTACGCGCGCGTGTACCCAGAAGAGCTCCTTGGGACCCCGTGATCATGATCGCTCCTTCCCCGACGGCCTTCATTCGCTGCACCACAGCCTTGATGCAGTAATACGTGCCGACGAAATTCACATTGATCATCTCGTGCAGACTGTTCACCGCCATGTCCTCGACTTTACCAGGAGCCGCGAAACCGGCGCAATTGATGAGCATATAGATTGGTCCCATAGTCTTCTCGAGATCGGCCAATGTCTTATCGACATTCTCATAATTGGTGCTGATGTCCAACGACAAGCACTCTACCGTTTGTTCCTCTTTGTTCGCACGGGCATTCTGTATCTCTTTACGGGCGAGCTCCAACTTATGTACATTCCTCGCAATTATGGTCACGTTCGCTCCGTGTTTGGCAGCAACGATCGCAATCTGTTTCCCGATACCGCTGGAACCGCCAGTCACCTGAAAGAAACATTTAAACGTTTACACGTATTTCATTGTTAGACCTGTCATTCTGTCATAGCTCTCTGATTCACAGATCTCTCCGACGTGGGGTGCATGACTCAATTTTCTACTTTTATTTCTTTTCTTTCTTTATCTTGATCTTTGTCTGCTTGATGTTCTTTCAATTTTGCTCATACTTACGCCTACTTCCTTTTCTTCCTTTTTCGTTACATTCTTCACATTTTCTTCTGTTTTTCTATTTTATTTTTATCTCTGTTTGCTTTTCAAATACTTACACCCTGTTATCGTTATTTAGTACACTATCTAACTAATGTATTACGCGGTTTTCTTTCTTTCTTTCTTCAACCAAGGAGTGTTCTTATCTTTTCGCTCTGAATATATCAATATTTGTATGCGTCATGCACGCTACAACGGAAGATCCTTTTGGAGGTTACGCGACGCACACTTACCACAATGTGCTTGTTCTTGACGCTTTTCAGCCGCCCAGTCCAGAATAACTCCTTGATTATTATGAGTATTATCACTAAGACAAACGTCACGTGCCACACGCCAAGTAAAGCAGTCATATCTGCTTGAGGATCGTTCTTTCGTTCTTTACAGATCCACTCCAATCAACAGGCGCTCCACCACTAGACGGAACATAGAACGGTAATAGCTTGACGTAAATCTCACGCATGCGCGTAACGTGAATGTTAGCAGACGACGCTTGTCTGCCGTGGCGACCCGCCGCGAAACAAGAATAGAAGACGAAGTGACTGGAGAATTTCTATCAACGATTTATTAACGCTTTAAGCTGCAACGACTTAGTTACATACCTCGTTAGTTTATTGATGGTATAAATAGTCAGCCACACTAAGCATAAATAATTTATACGAACCCTGAGAAACGACCGCGTTGCATCTAAGCACCAGTCTGTCAAACACACTTGACAATTCACATGGCCGAAGTACGAAATGTTGCAGTCTCATCTGGGAAGACTTGTATCGCGATCTTCAACTAACTAATTGCGATTCGTGTAAAAAAATTAAGAATTCTTAGTCACGCGTTCGATAATTTGGAAAATGCAAGTCGATTTCTGTTTAAGTGTCTTCAAATCGGACATATTTAGACATTTGTTTATTATTGTTATTTATTTGTTTATTATATATCTAATGTTCGGTTATTATATGTTTATTATATATCTAATGTTCGGATAAAAATATTTGAAGGAGGAAAAGCTCTCTGGATATGATGCTTTGAAATCACAATGAATTTTATCTCGCGTCTTTGTCTGAAAAATAGCTACTCAAACGTGAAACCCTCTCCAACGTGAAATTATGTTTTACAATTATTCTAATCAGCGATACGCCGAACACTATATCGACTAACGCGCTTCGCCGTGATAACGCTATCTAGCTTAACCGTTCGCGATTTTATCAGCGCTCGGTCATATCAACGCGCTCGCCTATTAACCTCGTCTACTAACCTTCTGGAACCCACTTCTTAGACGGAAAACTTGGCCACGGCCAAGAGTACACACTCCACGGTATCTCTAGCAATATCAGCTCTTCTCAGTATATATATTGATATTATGATCACGATAAGATAACCTGACGACGCGTATCGTATCGATTTTACCTCCGCGGGTATGACGACGTCGAGAACGCGGCTGTATTACCGGCCACTCGAAACTCGCGCGGTAGCGACGGGAGCTGAGTTCGCTCGACGTGGATGGGACCGAGGGAGAGTAATCGCCTCTCTTCGCCCCCTAGAAAATCGCACGAGTTCCATTTTTCACGTCGCGAGACTTCCGGCCGGCCGGCGTCCCTTTCGTTCATGACGCTCTCCTTGGAGCGCGACGCGGGCGCAAGAAGCGCAAGAGACGCACGTTCGCGCTCATTGATCCTACACTCCTGGTGCAGACCGGGCTGCATACGTGTAGGCTGCGAGGGACGATCTCGGCCCTTCGCCGAGGCACGCCCGCCCTTGCAGTCTCTCGATGCGCTCTCATATCTCGAGCGACATCAAAGTTTCATCGTCGCGATCACGGCTGCATTCGAAAGACAATTCAGCCACTTTTCAGCAAGCATCCTTCCCGCTGAAAAGCGACACCCGGTACTCGAGAGCCGGCCGGCGCGGGAGCACGCGCGCGCAATTAGCAAAAAGTTCCGCGAGAAAGGAAATTGGCCCGAGCGGTGGGAGGATTAACTCGGGGCGCGCGTACGTTTATGTATGTATGTATGAATGCGCGTATCCACGCGGCGGCCCATCATTAATGCAGCAGAATCCATTACATCACCCAAGCCACAACATGACCTCAACGATTTCAGCTCATAATCTATTGCGGGTTAATAACCTGTTACAAGATTGATACAGCCGGGATGAGCGAGCGCATCTTGCCTTCAGAGCCGCCGCCACAGCTCATCGTGAAATCGTCAGTCCGAAAAGCGGCGGCTATTTTCCAACGCGAGATCGCGATTTATTTTCGCCACGATGACAGGCAAACGTGAGCCGGCGTGCGCGCTTCTCAGTAGGACAACGCCGGCGACAACGAGTACGCAAGTCCGGGGGCGAAGAGTTACGCAGGCAACACACACGGTACACACGATGACGTCGCCGCGCTGCGAAGATTTCCGGAATATGGAAACGCATGCGTCGAAAAGTTGCAGGATAAGCCCCCTGAACGTGCATTCACCCCCGTGTTAGCGTAGCGCAAACCTCCCCCGCCCCCTACCCTCTCGCACGCCCCCTTCCCCGTCGCCCATCCACCTCGTCCCCGGCGTTATCCTTCGCGCAAAAGGTCACGTACCACCACCCTGCCGATCGTTCACCTCGTCCTGGGACTCGCTCCTGGTAGCCAGGTTAAAGCGGAAGATACGAAGGACGCGCTCACACGCACTACGAACCGCATCGTAAGATCCCGCGGGAACCGGCAGAACACGTTGCGAGCGAGCGAGCATCGCGAAGTTATGAGATCGTCCCGATCAGTTGGCCTGAGAGAAAGACAAGACTTATTAGAGTCGATCGCTGTGGATATAAGTGCGAGTGATATCAATTATGGGAGGATATGAATGTTTGGAAGTATTGAACTGTATGTTTTTTCCGAACTTGCAATACACGTGGCGAATCTATCTTCCACTTCGAACCGACTCTGAACCCTAATTGTTAATATTAAGGTTTAATTCCCTATCATTATATATATTCTAACTTAATTGGATTGTACAGCTTTTCAAGGTTCTTGTAAGCCTTATCTTTCCTTTACTTAGTTTGTATATCTCAGAGCCTGTGTTACATATAACACTGCATGTGTTATGTATAGTTGAATTTAAGCAGAAATTGAATCGCTCGGGAGTATATCAATGGGGGCCAAGTTAGAACGAGGTATGAATTAAAAAATACCGTTTAACCTCACTGGACTTGGCGGCTCGATCGAATCGTGATGTAATCGCGACGGGTGCCCCCGCCTCACGAAAGCACATAGGCGCGGCTACATTGTATCGTTAACGCGTTGACCGCCACACTGTTTCATGGATTATTTCAGGACTCAACTGAAGTTCGAATCACGTCAAAGTGATGTATACACGGTAAATAAATGCAATTCACGACGCACATGTTCGTTAGCTCAATTCATTGGCTGCCTGTTGACTGCATATCTAATTTATTATATACAACTGATTACATTTTGCACGCAAATTATCGTAATAAATATATATGTTATATAATAGCCGAACGCACAATATTATAATAATATTATAATAACGTCGGTCACTGATAACCCCCACGGCAGTCAACGCGTAAATCTACGATCACCAAAGCTGTTGTCGATTGAGAAGTAGGAGTAAAATCAGAATTTCAATCGGCTCCATTCAGCTCGAATCATCGGAGATGATTTTGGCGGCAGGTGATCTCTAACAAATAAAATTTGGTGAAACTGCGATCGTGATCTTGAGCACGAAAAGCTTCACGAGCTCCTCTTTCTCTCTCTCTTTCTTGTGTTTTTTGGCGGCGTTAAATTACTCGGAAATGTTGGCGAAGGGTGTTAACGGCAAAGAGATGCGCATCGTCTCGGCCGGACTGCCGGTGGTTGCAGCTCGTCGTCGCAGCTCGGGGCTGCGGCAGAAATCCGGTGCCGCGATTTCGGACAGAGAGTCAGCGTACGTTGCACCCAACCGAAGGGAGTGTCCCGAGCGAGCCCTCGCTTCCCTCTCGCGCCCTCCCTCACCCCCGCGACTCTCCGCCGGTCTCTCCCCCCGCAACCCCCGGCCAGTACCTTGCCTGTGATAGCCTAGCTACGACCCTGGGTTCCGTGTCTCCCGGGCTGCACCAGGGGGTGAACGCCCTCGCCTGACCCAGACTCGGAATCGATCTCCATTCGTTGCACGATGTTGGCAACCTCCCCCTCACCTCCGCCGTCCCTCGTCGCGTCCTCCTGCACCCATCTAGCCACCCCCTTCATGCTACCCTCCCCCGCTCTTGCCCGGCCATCCGCCCGCCGTCACCCCCGTGCAAGAGCAGCAGCAGCAGCAGCAGCAGCAGCAGCCAGCCAGCCAGCCAGCCAGCCAGTCGGCCAGCCAGCCAGCCAGCCAGCCAGCCAGCCAGCCAGCCAGCCAGCCTCGTCATACGCTCGCGGATTTTCCGTGAAACCGCGTCGCCGTAACCTTAGAAAAAAGGGAGGGGGCCGCGGCGTGAAGGGTGGCGAGCTTGTGCAGAATCGAAAATGGATGACGCGAGAGGGAAAGAAAGAAAGGGGGAAAGAGACAGAGGGGGGAGCGGGGGAGGAGAAACATTTTGCGCTCGCACCGAAGCATAATGCACGTCGCGTAGAATCGCCTGGGAAAATGAGGAAAAACGAAGATCACGGCACGTGTCGGTGCGCGGGAGTCTGCGGGGCTGCGAGTTTTTGCGCGCGTTATCGCGGCTATCGCGGTGCACGATGTTCGTCGCGCAATCGCCGAGGAGGACGGCGTGCGGGGTGCGCGATTTTTGTAAATTCGTAGCAAAGAGACCAAGAGAGGGCCCTTGGATGCGACGTGGTTTACGCATTTACCGATGCTCAAAGCAACGTGAGCGAGCGAGCGAGCAAACGCGCCTGTCTCTTTTATTCGCAGCACGAATCGCGCGCCCGCGACCATCATCGGAAAAGCTCGAAAGCCAAAATCCGATTTGTTTCCGGGGAGAGGGAGATATCCGAACGGGAGATTGAAGGAAACGCGATTTCGCTGGTCCACGAATAACGTGAGCGATGGACAGAGAAAGAGAGAAGGAGAGTTTGTCGACTTCTCCTGCTGCGCGAATTATAGAACGCGACCCGACCAAATCGATGAATAAAAAACGCGGCTAATTGTGTTAAATCCGTGGCGAATCGGAAAGAGAGAAAGAAAGAAAGAGAGAGAGAGAGAGAGACGCGAATTCGGCAAACGACGATGACGACGATGGTGACTGCAGCAACGGCGTCATGACATATAAGTCGCTCTATAACGAAGAATTCGTATGTCCGACGGCACGCCATCTATTACAGGACTCGTGCGCGTATGAATGCTTTATGGGGTACTATTCCAGTCCTCGCTTTCTCTCGACGGCAAGGTGCCTTACACACTGCTCTAGAACATCCCGCCGACGAGAGTCCGACAATCATTTTTCTGAAACGCTTACCTCGTTCCGTCATACATCGATCC